TAAATAAAATGATCGTCGTAATATTATTAATAAATTTAAATTCCGGTGTTTTTTTTTTCCGGAGTGTAGTATCGTTAAAAAGAATCTTCCCGTAACATAATAATCTTTTGATGGATCCGTATACAGGTAAAATTCCTTTCATCTTGTATCTAGATCATTAAGCTTTTATGAATAATAATCCTTTTTAGACCAAGACCCTGAGTACCGTGACACACAAATAGAATCACCAATTCCTATACCTTCAGTTGAAACCTGTCCACCTCCGCAACCTCGTCAACATCGAAATCATGACAGTCGATATTCTCAATCCTCGAGTTACCGAGGCTCCAGTCATCGAGGACCGAATTATCGGGATCCTCGAGATTCAAATTATCAAAATTCCAATTATCGAGGCCCTTCAAATTCTCGAGATTTCTCAAATAATCGAGATTCTCATCATTCTCATTATGCCTCTTCTCATCCTTTACCACCAAATCCTTTTGCCACATCAAATTCCACTCATAATGTTTCTGATGCTCGTGTAAATCCGCCTAAACGATCGAAAGCAGAATTGCCTAATCAGAGGATCAGCTTTTTAACGTGTCCAATTACTTACGAGGAGGGGAAACCAATATCGGGATTGAAAATGAAAGTCGGACCGGTAAGAGATTATTCGTGGGTAATCGAGGAAGTACGTTGGTTAACCGAGATTTATGTTCACGGTACATCTTTTATTCGAAGATCTTAGAACCGGATTATAACCAATTTTGCATGAAGGAAATAGTGGAGAGCCTTATTGAAGAAAAGGTAATCCACGTCAACAACGAAAATTAATTTACCAATTCATAATCTATTTATTTTTAATTAGACACGCCTTACTGATGTTCCGCACGAACAATTAACGGCAGCACGTGGAAAATCAAATCCATATGAGAAAGTTGGTGATTCAATTTTCATGAATCGGGCTGCAATGAAACTAGCCTGCCTAGATGCGCAAGTAGGTCTCACTGGAATTAAGAGATACGATCCGGTCAAAGATTTGGTGAGTGAATGCTGGCTGAAATTTTTTAAACTTTTGCAGATTAGAATATTCTAAATGAATTAATGTGCGTCTTACTAACTTAAATATTTACAAGGTATTCTGGTTCGCAGACCTATGCGGTGGACCAGGAGGGTTCACAGGTTGTTTATTATTGTCATCAAGTATATCTTGATTCAAGAAATATTCTAAATTGCTCTTATCATTCAGAATATTTGTTGTGGAGGAAAAATTCGTTGGGAGAACGAATTTTTGGATGGGGGATCACATTGGCTGGAGAACAAGATTACGATCTCAAAAGATTTCATCCTGATGCTATGGTCGAACGTTGTTTTGAGCGAGTTTACGGTAAAGACGATACAGGTATTCATTTTTTATTTATTTATTTTTTTTTTTGTAATTTTACTATAATATTCAAATCGGCTTTAAGCTTATTCGATTTTAATGACTTATATTACTTT